GTCTCGTTTAGTTAGAACACAAGTTAGGGAACCAGGAATACAACACCAACAACTTTTCTTAGTCAATTTTATAAAATTTGGCGCGGATGCGTCTTCTGTATATATTCCTTCTACCTGTCCAAGTTACAACACGTAGGAATAAAGACGTTGAAAGTGTTCACATTACGAGGATCAGTGGGTAGATACTACAGCCGAAAAAATGTTGTGGATGTTAAATTGAAGAATCGGATCTTGGTGAACTTCCCATAGGAGGTATCACTATCTATTCTAAATTGATGGGAAATTTTCCAACTGAAAAGGAAAGCTGGAATAAAATATTTTCAAATTTCCATTCTCTTTGCTATAAATCAATAAAAAGGAAATTTGGCACTTGTGACGAATGACCATCATGCGTTAAATATAAGACATTTTCTGAAGACTTTTATAGATGATTGTTTGCGATGTGTCAACTGCCAACAAACTTTCATTATTATTATTGACGAATCTATGGCATTGTGGATTGCGACACTTGAATGATTTTGCAATAAAAAGAAGTTAGATACGGTAGGCGATTTTGTTGGCGCAAATACAAACATACTGCCCGAAACAAAGTCACCATTTTATATGAGATAAACCAATATATTCAAACGTTTTGCCAACCTGAGCATTTTGGACATAATTAAAAAACGACCAAAAAAAAGAGTACTCCTCGAAAACATTTTTTCAATATTCCTGAAAGTCATTCTCAGTCGAATACCCTCAACTTCTGGTCGGAAACTATCCCACCGCGCGAATGAAACTATACCAAAATTCTTCAGAACAAGAAGATTTTCAAAATGTGTATACGGACAATCTCACACAAGGTATCATTGAGCGCCATTCTGGTCAGCTCAAATAAACATTTTTCGAAGAGACAAGGATTTTCAAATCTACACAAGTTTACAAGAAAATATCACAAAGAAATTCAAATCGTCAAAAGCAATTTTCAGACGTTATTTTTACACAAAGGTGGTAAAAAAGTAAAATCAATCCGCAAAAGAAAAAGACGGTACAGCCCATCAGTTCGATCCCGGTTTACAAAATGAAATGCTATGGGAAGCGAAGCAAAGTGGAAGTGGGTATTTTGGTATTGCCAATGATCTCGCGGTTTGCACAAGTGGAGATGTAGTTCACTCATTTATAACGATGGAACTCACGAAGAATTGGAAATGACTTCAATTCAAATTGATATAGAATATAACTGGACGATTGGTCCTAAACCCGAAGTCTTTAAAATCACAATAACTGGCCTGGCATTTGCAAATATCTCGATTGGAAATTTGGTCTCCAATATGACAATCAAAAAGTATTTGACAGTATCCGACATTCTGTCCATGTTTCATCAATCTGGAAAATGATATAGAATCAGATTTTCAAGAGATGAAGACGACATGTTGTATATCATATACAGTATATGGGACAAAGAAATTTCGAACTCATGCGGCATAGCAATATGCTTCTCATTCCAAAGCATTTAAGATTACTTCAATTGTTTTGAAAATCATCATTCCGGGCTTGAAATTTAAAATAATGCAGATAACTGGGTATTTATTTATATAACCGATTTTTCTGGTAATTCACGTGTTTTTGCATGTTTTTCTAAAAGCAGAACGAAGTAACGATTATAATTTAATGCCAGAATTGTAAAGAATGGTTCCACGCAAGACGTATTTCAGTTAGAACTACAATGCTCAACAGTCGGCGAGAAGCTTGGGGAGATGCATGTTTTGTTCAAAGGAAGCTAGAAAAACACATTTTTTATAGTGAAGAAAAACCATACGACGGAGTTCATTAACAAATACAGCGCTCGCCAAGTTTGGTCGATTGTGGCCAACCTACCACGGGATTGGAATCTCATTATAGCAACAACCCAAGACAGAACGATATATCAGTCAGGCCGATTACTCGCGGGTTAGTGGTTCAATCAAAGGCAAAGTCTGATAAAGTTTAAAACACGAGTTCTGGCTGCTCTAAGTCAATTTTGTAATATTCAGCGCGGATGTGTCTTATGTAGATATTCCTTCTACCTGCCCAAATTACAATACGTAAGGATAAACGCGTTGAAAGTGTGAAGTGGATCTCGATGAACTTCCAAAGGGTATCATTATCTAAATTAAAGGAATATTTTCTAAAGCGAACCACATCAGTTGTATCGCATATATTAATGGTGCGCGTCAACTTCGGTCACATTGCAATCGACGACGACCGGTGCGTAGAAAGAGTAAAGAAAAAAATGTTAGCACGGCTACAAAAATCCAAAGATATAGCAATATCATAGAGTAAAAAAGGTTATAAAATGAAATCTTTCGAAAATTTGCTTCAACTGCTTTCTGTCCCTATAGAGGACTTGCACGGGTCACGTGACCTTGTTTACTGGACGGCAATAAAACAAAAACGTCCATTTGGCTCCTGTCAGTTGCAAGTCGGGTTATACGTTTCCGTTTGGTTTGGCTGTTGAAAATGGTTATTTCGTATTGTTCCGTATATAGACAACGAAATGGATCTTCAGTTATATTCCACTGTTTCCAAAAGATCCGGAACTTCGCGCAATGTGGATATCATCTATTGGCAGGACTGCTTGGTGTCAAGTCCAGAAGCCATATTACTTGTGTTTCACTGTTTGCGAACAGCACTTCGTTGATGGTAAGTCATAATGTGCCGTTATCATTTTTTTTTAATATTTATAAGCTCCCTCATTTCAATAGAAAGCAGATGACAAACTACTGTTACTGGTAGGCGTAGGCCTACTTGCAGAGTTGCAGACTTGACTCGTGTAAGGTATTAATCAATAATTGCCATAAGGTATTGTTTCCCTAGTTAGCAGGTAATCTATTAGTAAGTGTGAAAAGTTTAATAGATAACTAAAGTTTAACGCCAGTGCTAATGCAAAAAATAACCAGAATTCAATTGAATTCTCCATCTAAGAATACTCTCGCCACCGCATCTCTGATCCCCCTGGGAGTTTCACAGGTTCCAATCCCATGTTATGTGCGAGGGGATTGCAGCTCTCCTCCCACTGAGGGTGGTTCACACGACCGCTGGTCGATTACGACATCCCCCACCATCAAGTCCATGCTTCTAAAACAAATAACTGGCTAACTAATCCCGACATAGGATGGTAATCGTACGATGTTGCACCTTGCAATCTGTCTCCAACCACAGATAAATTCTATCCCAAAAACTACCCACATTGGTAGGCATAGTTGCGTTTTAAATTGAAAGAAATCTTCATTAATGGTCAGAAGGTGTTGTCTGATTGTTTTGTTAGTTAGCAGGTAATTTATTACTGATCTGATACACAAACTTGGCACTGTCAAATGATGATTAGTGTTTAATTTATTTTCAGGAAAAAGGGAAGATAACCCATTATCAGCTGCTTATATGTCCCATCGATATTTGAATTTTCGCCATCCCCGGAGAGGAAGAGAATAATTAGAAAAAGGGGGATTTTGAAGAAAGGCAAAAGGCAGGACCATTTCAACAAATTCTGTTAACTTGTGTGCGTTGCAATATTAATTTGCAGTTGTTCGCATAAACATTTAATGTATCTTTCGACTAGACCTACCACACTTTAAAAAAGCCGCCCTTTTCACTAGAACCATAATACTGTAAAATATTTGATAGAAATTACCCCCGAGGCATCATATCTTCCATTTGAAAGGGCTGTGGAGGCAGATACATTTTTTACCCTAAATTATGGAATGTTACTTCCAGGTTATCTTGTCCATGCTTATAGATATCTTGAGGTTAGTGACTCCAACTGACCCATGCATGCCACACTCTTGTGTACCCATAAAATAACAAGAGAGCTATGCTCAAATATATGGACACGTAGAGTCACATAATTTTGATGACGTCATAGCGAAAAAAAAAGTAATAGCCTTCTGGAGAAAATTTTTATCTTTAACCACTAAAAATTTCAAAGCAATTGGTCCAGTATTCGAAGAGAAAAGCGACTTTTTAAAAACGTGTCAAGCGGTACTGAGTTAGCAGTCAGGCAGCATCTTACCTGTACACTGTAGGCCATATACGGTAATTGATCACAGAACAGTTGTTCCCTTGCAAATTTTATGTTGTTTACACTTTAGGACAGATAATTGATCACAAAACAATTCTTCCCTTTCAAATTTTATGTTGTTTCCAGTAGACTCTCATCAAAATAAACAAATATAGTAGGCTACAAGTGCTACAACGCTTGCATTACTGCACTGGTAGGACCGTGAAAGAATAAGTTACGGTAATTTCATTGTGGTAAGACACCGGTACCGGCACCAGTACCAGTATCGTACTTACGTACTGAGCTACCAGTACCGGTTAGCAGTCAGCCAGCATCTTACCTGTACACTGTAGGCCATATACGGTAATTGATCACAGAACAGTTGTTCCCTTGCAAATTTTATGTTGTTTACACTTTAGGACAGATAATTGATCACAGAACAATTCTTCCCTTTCAAATTTTATGTTGTTTCCAGTAGACTCTCATCAAAATAAACAAATATAGTAGGCTACAAGTGCTACAACGCTTGCATTACTGCACTGGTAGGACCGTGAAAGAATAAGTTACGGTAATTTCATTGTGGTAAGACACCGGTACCGGCACCAGTACCAGTATCGTACTTACGTACTGAGCTACCAGTACCGGTACCGAACCTGTAGGTCTGATATTCCGTTCCGCATACGATAGGCTATAAAACTTGCATTGCAGCATTAGTAATACCGCGGAAGGAATAAGTCAATTCCGTTGCGTTGAGTCAAATCACCTTGCGCCAATCGCGGAGCCACTGTCGCCAAGATAGAAAAAGTCTTGTCGTGGGTACATGTGTGCGAAAGTCCACGAATGCAAATTCCATGGATGCAAATGTATACTGATGCTAAAATTCGAGGTTCAAAAGTATGCAGATGAAAATATTCTAGGTGCAGTTTAGGAGTGTAACTGTGCTGTCATATCGTTCTATCGGGCATAAACAATAAAAACCCACTTGTGCATGATGACGATTCTATTAATAAAAGTAAATTAGTAAAGTAGATACATAGTTGAAATTAAACGCAATAAAGAAAAACAAAACTAGCTCATAGAATAATACGAAGAAATGAAATTAGATTGTTTCAATTGGACGGCAATGCCAGTTATATCATGCTAGTGCTCCAAAATTGGATGAGATTCATTCATTGATAGGGGTGACACATAATCATATAATGCACAAGGTAAATTTTATGAGCCCAAATTAGTGAATATAACCGGAAGTAATAAAATATTTGATACGGCTGTTCAAGCAAGAAATATATGTAAATAAGAACACCATGCAATGCTGAAATAACCAAAAAATAAGGAACAGGAACTCATACATGATACAGAACGATTAGAAACTTCAAATTAATAGGGTAATGTTGATCATTAGATAAAACGTTAAAATGACTTAAAGTCATAATTGAATAAAATATACAATGTAGTAAAATATTAAATCATTAATGACGTTTCTTCTATACATTTCGCATTAATTAATACAGCGGAAGCATGTTTTGTTATTAGCACCACAACTTAGAATTGTCAACTTTCACCCATGGAAGCAACATAATCTTATCTTGGTTGATGCTTTAGATTAGTAACATTGTTCATAATGATATTCTCGTATTATAAGTTCTTTCAATTGCAACTATTCAAGCAACAGCAATTATGAATATACTTCATTTACCTAGACTAGTTCATTCTCATCAAATCAAAAATAATACTTTTATTGCATGATTTAAGCGGTGTGAATGAGATGTTATTTCACCAGGAGTTGGGCAGTATATTATCCCACAGTTCATTCTCATATTAATGTAACCTGTAACGTAAGTTGTTACGTCATAAATGCATAAGGCAGGTAATCATTATATCAAACATTTTGATAATATGAATACAAAATTAAAGTTTCTACAATGTTGAATTTAAAATATGTTAAAATTATTACTATATATTTTATTTATTTGCATATTAACTATTTCAGAACTATAGGAACTCGAGAGTACTCATTGAAGGATTCCAACCAGGGGTTCACAGAAGAACACATAAAAACAAAACAGTGAAATAAATGAATTCTTCAAGGCCATTTCTGTAAGCTGCTTTGATGGCAAGCATTGTGTCAGTAGAGACCACTTAGTTGCAAATGACAAAAATCGATATAATCAACAGATTCTGTTGAAGGAGTGCAACTTCAATGCAAGTCAATAGAAGGCATGAAAAAATGGGGAACTACAGTATTAGAAATATATAAAAGAATTCAGTCACAAATATATGCTTGATAACTCATTATGTTATCTTTTCTAATTGTTCGGGCTTGATTCCGTAACTTTTTCCTTCTCCGAAAGTTACTATCACATCAAAATCATCGTCAATTCCTGCAACTACACCAGTTTTAGTCAGTATGTCTACCTTCTCTTCAGAAATTTCAAGTAGTTTGCAAACATGTCTAACTTTGTTCATTGACATGTTTCTTTCATTATTTAGATCTTCTATCTTCACACGAACTTTATCACCTATCAGAAAGGGAGGCACGTACAAAGGTGGCGGAACAGAACCATCAGTGGATGTGATATCGAGAACCGCAGGATTGAATGTCCATTTGTTTCCAGTGTCAAAGAGAACTTGTACATTATGAGATCCATCAAAATCCATAACTTTGCCAGTTAAACCATATACCTCCAGCATCTGGTAGCACCATCCGCCATGACCTCTTTGCATCTCTATCATTACATCCAAGGGAAGATGAACACGCACAACATCACCAATGGCAAACTCGCGGCGATTTATTTTACTCTCAACTACCAATTTTGCGTGTTTCTTCATTTCATCTTTATGGTTTTTAAATCGTCGTATTGCTTCGTTTTCAGATAATTTAGTAATTGCAGCTGGATTGAAAACATAACAGCATTTTGAATTGTATGCAACAAAGGTTCTTCCGTGATAATCAGCATAAACTAACTTCCCAACTCTGCCTTTCAGACTTGACATCTCACTGTTCCACCCTCCGCTCCACTCTTGTAATTCTCGCATGACATCTTCTTCCATATCATGACAGACATAATCACCAATTTTTATATTGGGATTATCACGGAGACATAACTCTTCAAGGTCACCAGGACCACTTGTCTTGCATAATACATCTGGATTGAATCGAAAGTACAGTCCATTCTTATAAACTGCCAAAATGTCACCCTCTTGCAAGAACCTGAAAATAAGCCCAGTTTGCTTGAAAATGTAGTCCATGTCATTCACCCATCCTCCATGATCTTTCTGCATTATCTGTACAATCTCTTTGTCCAAAGTGACACAGACAAGATCGCCAATATGAAAATCACTTTCTGATGGAATCTTAACTAATGAACATGAATTAAAGCGGTGGCTTTGAACACCTGAAAATGACACTGTAACATCACCATTGTCTTCAACTTTCTTTACAATTCCGATCATATCTCTCAACTGTAACAAAGAATCATTCCAACCACCATGTCCAATTTGAGCATTTTTTATGGCAGCAACATCAGTAATCATTCTGACATTATTTCCTTCACGAAGATAGGGGTCAGCAAAGCTTGCCTCCAATTCCCTGATCCCAGATGGGGACTGGGAATTGGTCGATTGAGTTGGGGAATGAATTGGAGGACCAGGAATTTGCATATTCCTCATCCTGCTCGATAATTCATCAACAGGCTCCACAGGAAAAGATCTTGATGGCTGGGAAGTTGAAGGTTGAGGTTGTTGTTGTTCTGAACGTCTAAATGGGGGATTTGCTTCAGGTGAGACAGTATGCCATCTTGATTGATGTGGACGGCGTACCTCTATTGAGGGATTAGATTCATAATGGCGAAACTTCTGCAAAACACCAATAGGATCTTGTGGCATGCCACCTCTTGGAAATGCAGGCAATTTACTTTTTAAATTATTTACATCCTGTGACATTGTACTATCAAGAATGTTTCTTAATTCTACCTGTAATCGAGCACGCACTTTATCCATTGGAAGCCTTTCCTTCGGTTCGGTTTTCCAACAATTTTCCATCAAATCAAAGAAACAGTTAAGTATACTTTGGTCTACAGCAATACCTTTCTCTGCTAGTTCAGTTTTAATCTCTTCAAGCCCCTCTCTTGGTCTTTGACCCCCTTTCACACAATGCTCGATCAGATGAGGAAGAACTGTTCTAAATGGCTGATTTCGGCTGGTAACAACATACATCACTATTGCAAAACTGTATATATCCATATATGGGGTGCGTTTCCCATCCAGCTGACCGAGAAGTTCGGGTGCTGCATGGCTCAGTGTATACTGAATTAGGCCATCATCCGGTCTATATGAACCCGACCTAGACATTTCGGCCGTTGCTCCTGTATAACTTGACAAAGTAGATCCTCCAAAATCAGCAATTTTGGCATGAAGATCAGCACTTAAGAGAATGTTTTCAGCCTTCAGATCGCAATGAATAAATCTTTTATCTTCAGAAAAGTTGTGAAGGTAAGTCAATGCTGAGGCTGTCTCAAAAAGGACACGAAGTCTGACAGTCCATGGAATTTCTATGTTGTGACTTGTTAACAAACTTGCTAGATCTCCAAACGGCATGTATTCCAGGACCAAACATACAAATCCACCCTGTTGGGCAATACCATGCAAGCTCAAAATATGTGGAGATGAGTTGGCTTTCAGATGCATTAATCCTTCTTTATTAAACGAAGTTATAGGGTTTCTACCACATTTCTTGAGAACTTTGACAGCAACATCCCCATGTGCATGATGGTAGCAACGAAAAACAGTGCTGAATGATCCTTGTCCCAAATACCCCTCTGAGTCCTTCCGAGAAGTATACAATGTGTCATATGAGATAGCAGGAATTTCTGCCATGATTTCAACATTCGAACAAGTTATATCATTTGATTACAACTTTTTCAAAATATCCATAGCAAAGTTATCTGAATAAGCCTCCAAATTTTAGAACTTTCTCTAATTGAGATAAATACAACTGCTATGTAACCAATTTTCGTGATGCTAGAAATAAAAACAAATTCATTTAAATATGGTTGCTTCGGTGGAACTTGGGGGAGATGAACTTTAAATAACCTTTGAGGAGCTAAAAGCTGTACACGGATTCACTAAGGGCCGTGACGATTAATAAAAGTTGATTTTACCCAGAAGTCAAAATTTTCTTAACCTGGATCATTTCATGGAAGGCATAACTAAGAGTTAATACAGTAAGATTGTAGTCGAATGGAAATTTTCTCCAACACTTCAAAGCCTTACCGCTTTGATATGTACATATGCATCCTGGACTGGAGAGCTAGGTAGTCTGGAGCGTTTCATTTTGTACCTCAAGCTGGGCTCAGATCCGGCTCCATAGCCATCGAGTTTTTTTGTGAAGTTTTTTTTTAAATTGAACGTTGAACTTTTTTTTATACAAATTTACCTTGAAACCTTTAAATTCCGGTATGTAAAAAATTAAATCCAAAAAATTATTATAAGCTGGAGGATGGATTTTATTATGTTGTGTTTATTATGTTGAATTTACTACTAGAAGTCGCTAGAAGACTGTTACTTTCATTTAATTTTGAATTTTCACTGATTCCCGTGAGACTAGTTTTACATCCCAAACCTGGCTTGTTTTGATACATTGCGCCATCTCGTGGCATCATGTTGCATTTCATCAATCTCGGTAACAGTACCGACTGATGGGTGACTATGAATTTAAGCTGTGCTCTCATGTTTATTCTTAATTATATATAGAAATTTAGCTCATTCACACAAAATTATGATGTTATTAATTATAACTTGGGAATTTTGATAAAATATTTTTGGAATCCAATAAATATATCAGTATTTGAGATTTTATTCAAAATCCCGAATTAAAAACATGTTAGCCTGCCTGAACATACATAAGGTGAAGACAAAAGAAGATGTTTTGGGTCTCATGTAGTTTTGTACCTAACGTACTTCTAGTCGTAGCATAACAATTTTTTGACATCTGATTACGCCATCCAAAAATTAAATCACTACGACATCACAATCACGTCATAGAGCTTGCCAAATATACGCACGATCGACCAAATTGGCATTGGCGCCGACGATAAAGAACTGACCGACGTTATCGGTCTCTCTCCTATTGGAATCATTGCGACGAGAACACGTGAGAACTGACTGTTCGATTTCGGGTGCTCGTTTGCGCGTCTTGGATGGCAGTTCGTATTGTTTGAAGGGCTCTATTACGTCACTGTGATGTCATAATTTTTGGACAGTGTAGTCAGGTGGGGGTTAGGATTGATATGTGAAAAAATTGTCATGCTACGCCCACTAGAAGTATGTTAGGTAAGAAACTACATGAGACCCGATGTTTTTTCAGAACAAAATCAATTCAACGTGTTTAACTTACTGTAAAGTATTAAAAAATTATAAAAACAATAATGATTAGGACCAAGAGCCAGAAAGCCACTAAAATTTCTGGTAGCTCCGGCTCCATCTATTACAGTAAGCTTCACAACTGAAGCCTTGTCATATCGACACCGAAGCGTGATATTAAGCATTGCTCTTGTGTTTTGTCAAACGATGAATTTGTAATTTTGTTCCAATGCTAAAAATATATTCTTTGAATGACAGGAACCTGTAATTTTTAAAGTTTGTTTATGCCCCTCTGATGAAAATATTTCAGTAGCCCTGCCCTATCTGCCTATAGTCAGATAGTATACAAAATACAATATGATTCTATATCTGAACTGTAATGAAAATATCTGAATATGTAACACTTAACATTGCGACATCTGCATCAATAAGATTCAAAACCCTGATAAATTATCTATGATAATTTCATACTGACCTCATGAAACAGAAACCTCAATCTAAAAGGAAAAGTTGACAAACAGTCCCGGAGTTGTACATAAAATGTTGACAGCCTTACAGTCAAGACCTCAAGAGCATAGCCAGCCCAAAATTTTGGGAGGAGGGGGGGCAGATTTATTTTTTGGATAACAGTATAGTACTGTAGTATAGGTACCTGTACTGACGTAAGTTAACACAGTAATACCGGTACAGTAATACAACGTTTACTTGAGGCTCGAGCCCTTTGCTCCAAAAAAGGCTAGATAAAGGAAGCCACTGATATCTAACAATATCTGAAAGAATCTATCTAAGCCAGATAGATATTTTATTCAAATACTCCATAATATACACAAATTTAAAATGGAGAATTCTGGAGGGGGAGCAAAACATTTAAAAAAGTTCAAAACATGCGAAATATCATGTGCCCTCCCACCAGCACATACACAAAAATAAATTACAAAAAACACAAACCTAATAAAAACGAGGCTTGGGCCAGAAATAATCAAACAAAAGATACTCGAATGTATTGAACTTCCGGGCTGTTATACTTTTGAAACACCTAAGCTATTGCAATATTAATGGCCAATTCAATATGTACAGTATATGCCAGCAGTACTCTGTTAATTGAATGTTTGTTTTGTGATATTGCGCTAAACCGAAGATCTTTGGCGTCAAATGTAAACCTTGATAAACGAATAATATTATTTTCAATTCTCAAAATTTTTCTACAATATGCAGATATGGTCTATTAATCATCACAAAATGAAACCTTCGACACCAGATTACCCTATCCCCCGGGATAAATATGTAAATCCTACTCTGACAGTCTACCCTTCAAACCGGCGGAAACTGTATGTATGTTTATTTGCCTCAAAAATGTAACAGTACCGGTACCGGTATCTGCATAATAGTTACCGGTAATCGGTATAAAAGAGACTACACATACCGTAATTCAGTAATTACAGGCCGGGATTTCCTATTTGCACGCTCGATTTCCCGCGGAAAAATACCATGGAGTTCAGACAGGATCACACCTTCCATTTTATGATTTTCAAGTTCCGCTTTTAAGCTTCTGCTAAGAAACTAAGCTATGTTGTAAGATACGGTACAGTACATTATACGTATATACGCTTTGGTGTAGTACTCGCTCTGGTCTGCGAGTGATAGGAGTCGAATGGTTTGGTGCAGCTCCAAAACACCTTTGTTTTGGTAGCAGTGTTCTGCCCCAACACTTCCGTTAAACACATTCGGGGAAAGTCTTTTTTAAGGATGAGACATTAGGATTCACGTATTTATTCCGATGGAGAGAAAAGTCGATGAGACAACGTAATAATATGACTACAAACTACGTCTCGTCCGGTTACTAACCGGTCCCTGTCGGGGATAAGATTTGCTAGCCTATTATTTGTTTCAGGTAGGCCTACATGAATCTGAAGGTGATGAACCAGTAAGCCGACTTAATTGTGGAGGAAGTGGTTATGTAGGCCACCCTACGACGACGGGGAACCCAGAAATCTTCTGGCACATAATTATCCTTCAGGGTTAATCGGAGAAATGAGGATATATGATCGGAGGTGCGGGGGCAAGCGTATTCGTATTTTGTAACGCTTAGCACGATGCCCTACAGCCTACACCTCCTAGGTTCAAAATTGACTATTGCAAATATATATACATAAAAGAAGATTTCAGTTATTTCGTAAGCTTTATTCGGTATATATTCTAATCCAAAGTGTTACATTGTTGATTTCCCATGTAGTTTTCACCCAAGTTATCAGTTAACATAAATGTATTTTTTAATTATTGACAGCAAAAACATAAATATATACTGTACAACCAGACATAAGCTGTTGCATAAAATGCCAAGTTCGTTTGAAAAAAAAAAACTAGACTGTTGTCTCAATTTTTCGTCGCCATGAGGGAATTTTTACTTATCGATCTTAAGATCGGTAAGTATGTTGATAGGTATTTGTCTGTTTGTTTGTCTGTTAGATACACGCGATATCTCACGAAAGCAAGATTGAATCTGCTCCAAATTTTGCATGTGCATTCAGCCATTCATCATAGTTCTGAACAGAAGCCTATTGATTTTCGATAAATTATGTCGTATAATTAGCGAGTTATTAATTAATTAGTGATGGGACACACGGTGTCACTATGAAGTAAGAGCGCTGTTTTGGGATCCCCTAACCTCCGATCGATAAGTCTTCGGTCTCCGACCAATATTCTCGTTTAATTCTTATTACTTGTCGATCTTAAAATCGGTAAGTATGTTGATAGGTATTTGTTTGTTTGTTTGTCTGTTAGATACACGCGATATCTCACGAAAGCGAGGTTGAATCTGCTCGATAAGTGCGCTCCAAGCACACCTTATATCTTACAATAGCCTACACCAGGGTGGTCCAAACCCAGGCCCGCGGGCCACATGTGACCCGCCGCTTCGTTAGCTGTGGCCCGCTTCGCATTCGGAGAGTAATCAAAAATTTCCATCTTTTTGGTCTGGAATATATGCTAACAATACAGGCATCATAGAAAACTAAAAATCGAATATGGATTCTATTAGCCTTGAATGGCTATGTCTAATAACTATGTGTTTGCACAATAAAAGAGTTTGTTTTGTATTACACTGTTTACCTATTCTTGGCACTATTGTGGCCCGCGAACAATGCAAAAATAAATTTGTGGCCCGCGGAGCTCACAACCTTGGACCACCCTGGCCTACACCAACGACTAACATACCGTCTACACAGAAGAGGTATGATAGCATTATGTTCGAAAATGGAAGAATGTAAGTACCAATGGTTACGAAGATCTAATAAAATACAAGGTATATTTTATATATATAAATAGTTATTTTTTATCTGAAAATGGTTAAATTTTATTGCAACAGAAAAACATATTCAAACACATTTCGTGTAAAAGCACAGTTCTAATTTCTAAAATATATGAGATATAAATTCTGGTGTCTGAGAACTCAATACACATAACTCTATCTATACACACATACTATAAATTTCGGGGAAGATATTACTCCGTGTTAACAAGATTTTGACTTCCACGCGGAATATTCAAATTTGACCACAAGTAATTTAAAGAGTCATATTTTTCAATTCGCATGCATAAACGCAGTGAATCCAAGTTTGTTGTTTTTAATGGTATTTAGAGCGCAGTTCAAATAGTAGCCTATAGCCCCTAAAATCGGAAGCCCGAGTTGAGACTTT